ATGAAGTCACAACTTCATATTGTCATATTTTTTCTTATAATTGACATTTTTCCCTTTTAGTCAGTATTTGACTAAAATTCAACTTCCTCTAAATTTCAGTTTCTTACAAAATTGCTTTAGTGGCAATGGGTCTTCTGGTGCCAGAAGTAACAAAAATAGTAATTATTACATATGACATAGAATCATGTACCTTCTTACATTTGGCATGTAGAAAGGGGTGATGTTCTGTAAAAAGGTTAGGTTGTTGCTGATGTTGGTCCAACGTTTGATTTTGATGAATCTGCAAATGATCAGGCAAAACTAATATTATTGGTTGATGATGGAAATTTAATTCCACATGGGGACCCAATGGAACAATTTTAGAGCCTCACTGAATTTGTTGGGGAAGAGATTGAATCTAGAGAGGAGGAAATCGATCCCCAACAAGCCTGAAAAGAAAAGTACACTTATTATTTTTCAAATTCTGAAGAAACAAGACCACTCATTAAGAAATGCATAGACCACTTAGCATTTCCCGAATTATCATATGAAAAAATGTAAAGGTTCTATATCCTAAAATCACTCTTTGTATGTGAATCTATTTCAACTGTTCGAAAGAAAAGAAGAGCTTAAGCTTGAGATTTAAATGTGTTATTGAGGGCTTTCAAATTAGAGTGAGAAAATCTACAACATTCAAGTTTGAAGCTATTTTCTTAGCCAAAAATTGTAAATGACAACTAAGGGACACAAAAGATAACACTACAAATTCATTCAATTTCGTAATCCGTATGAAAGCCACACTTCCTTAAACACACATCTTCATCCCCATCATGCCAAGCCAACAAGAAAGTGTTGGGTCGTTTCTTGAAGGACATATTATTTATAGTACAAGGAATATGTTGTATGGAAAACTGATCCAACGAATTATAACTGACCAACTTAGTGTACATATTTTGTATTGGCAAGCATGGAGTACAAAAATATATGCTCTAAATTTGTTGAGAGGGACCCATGAAGAAAGCTATCAAATACTTACTTTATATTGTAACATTTTATAGAGGAAGAATCTAGGGACCATGTAACATCCCAAAATTTAGGACCAAAAATTTCATTTTTAATCAAGTAATTTTAAAACCAATAGTCTAAAAACATCCATACTGTCATCCCATATCAAAACCAATATGACAATAATCAAAACATGTCATAATAAAACATCATCAGAGTATAAATCCCAATGATCTCATGTGCAGAAATCATGTTGTGATGCGTTGTGATCATGCCGACTCCTTTCCTTTCGAAGAAGAAGTACCTGAAACCAAAACTGAAAGCCGTAAGCACGAAGCTTAGTGAGTTCCTCCATCATACCACATACCATACAATAAACATACTGCCTAGCATATCCGGGTGCTGGCCTACCCCTTCGGTCTCTTTCAGCTGGTAACCTCCTAGCATATCAGGGTGCTGGCCTACTGCTTCGGTCTTCAACCGGTAACCGCCTAGCATACCTGGGTGCTGGCATACCCCTTCGATCTCTTTCAACCGTTTACGAGGACTATTTCACCCCTACCACTACCACATAATACCCTATCATATACACATAAATCACATACTACCTAGCATATCTGGGTGCTGGCCTACCCCTTCGATCCTTTCGACCGGTTACGGGGACTATTTCACCCCTATCACTACCACGTAATAACATAACATACAAACACATAAATCTCAACAGATAGTGACATACCAGACAATTATCACAAAGACAATTATCTCTACTGTAACGAATACTAGTGGTCCGACATTAGTGCCTTCGAACCACTCATACCGGGAAGGTAACTCACCTCAACTGTGTACCGAAATCGTGCTCCTCGGTTGGCTCGAGACTCCTTTCCCTAAAGCATAACAAGTCTCCTAGTTAGTTATTTGGTCCAAGTATAACTCTCTTATGGCCCAACTTCTAATACATGTCCCAAGGAAAGGTCCCCTAGTCCTTTCCTTAATGGGCCTTTTCCCCCAAAGGTCCATTCCATAATCAATTTAAGGCCCAAGTCCATTACTTTAAGCTTTAAACCCAATAAGGCCCAATACCATAAATCCCAGTCCTAGGCCCAGAGGCCTTACTCCACAGTAGGCCATGAGGCCCAACAAATCCAGGCCCAATCTTATAAGGCGCAAAAACCCATGTTAACCACTCTGCATGCGTACGCACGACGTGACGTATGCCCAGCGTACGCTGGTCTTGACCACTTGGGGAGGTTGACCCAATACGCGCAACGTACCAGGGGTACGCCCATCGTACTGACCAGTTTCCTTAGAATTCCTTTTGTGACTTAATCTATTAAGTCCTAACGTCCAAAACATAGATCCAGGTCCTTTAAGAAGTCCTAAACCATAAAGTTACAAATTTTATGTCTTTGCATGCATGGATGGGGGTTAAGACATGATTTAAGTCCTTAAACACACTTTATGACCGTCTAACACTTTCATGGTTGTGGCTTAACCATCAAGGCCCAATTTTTATGACTTTAAATGCTTCCAAGAGCCCAGAAGGATAGCTCTTATGGGATGGAACTACCAGAACACAAGAAATCTCAACTATGGAGTCAAAATGTCACATAAAACACCCCAAAACTACAACTAAGCATGCAATGGTCAAGTTTTAAGCTTGATACCTCAAATGAGTCAGAAAAGATGCTAAACTCCTGGATCTACAAGCCCTTCTCACATTCTTGCTCCTTCTTCTAACTTCATCTTCTTCAAAACCACCAAAAATACCCAAAAGTGCACCAAGTTAGCTCACAAAGCATGCAAGAGGCTTAGGGTTCGATTTCTACTCGTTAGGGGCAGTGGAGGCTGAGGGAATGAGGTTTGGGACGGAGTTAATGTCTTTATATATGGTGCAAACCCTAAAATTTAGGGTTTGCAACTGGACAGGTTACGCCCAGCGTACGCAAGGCTCCCCCCGCTTCGCGCCTCGATCGTGTACGCCGTGTTTACACTATGTACACCCAGCGTACGGTCTTTCTCACAATTACCATATATTACACTTAATTAAATCGAAGGGAAAATACCTGGTGACTCGGATGTTACAGACCATTACCCATATAAAGACAGATAATAACGACAAATTTGAATACTTTTTGTCCGTTATCAGTTGCATGGTAATATTTCATATGTATATATTTTATACTTGTTATAAATATATTTGATATAATTACTAATCTATTGTATTATTGTGTAGATTCGAGCATTTCAAACATGTTTGCGTCCTATTATTTTCATGGAGCCCACCTAAAAGAGAAATACTTGGGAACTATGTTCCTAGTAGTAGGTATGGACGATAATAACCAAATCCTTTCAATACTTTTTGATGTTGGAAAAACAGAAAGTGGGGAATCATGTATATGGTTTTTATCAAGACTGAAAGAATGTATTGGAGGTTTGACCCCTTTGGCTATCATATCTGATAGATCTAATTTCATTAAAATGGCCATTTAAGCCGTGTTTCCAAACATATATCACATACTTTATTGTTGACATTTGTTGATGAATATGCGATCAAAGATTGACTAACAAGAAAGAATTGAAATTCTGTTTTGGGAGGCATGAAAAGCTTACCGAGAGTCTTATTTTAAAGATTGATTGGGTAGGATACGACATGCTCTATCTGATGACTGTCATACATGGATAGACAAAATCAGTAACCATAAATGGGCAAAGGCATGTTTCCTAGGAGTTCCTTATATTATTTTACTTTCCTACTTCTATATCTCTATCCGCATCTATTTGAGAATTGTCTTTTAAAAAAGCAAAATGAGCATGAAGTATATACCAAAATTCATGATCGAACACAACGTCTAATTCAAAAACACAATTTTCATGATAGAAATTAACTAATCACGGACATTATCCCTAGTTGTAAATATATAATTATCTGGTTTTGAAATTCCTAATAATCATTTTCAAAGCACATATCCAAACATCTCACGAGCTGCATTAAACTTTTCTCTACAAATATTCACTTATAGAATCCATAATTAATATAATTTTTCAGATTTAGAAGAATAAATGAAATCATTTCACATTACAAAAAAGTATTAGCATTAACACATTTGCAATCTATGCAATAAAAATCAAATCATATAAATTCTGGATTCTAAAAGAATAATGCTTTCACCATGAAAGTCATATTCAATCCTATCAGTAGACATCACATTCTTTTCATCTTATATTGTCAAATATAGTTTCATTACAGCTAGTAAGGTAATTTTTAAGAGTAACTAACCTTTCGATTGTCGCCTTAATTTCTCTATCCATAAATTCTTGGGGGTTAGAAATCAGGACAAATGGAAGCACATATATCAAAATATTTATGATCTTCTTGAAATAGACCTAATGGTAAAAACATTTCTATTATTTACATTTAACAAATAAATTAACTAATCCTTATATGTATTCATTGTTGGTTTATTGATTTTAAAAGCCATATATGAAAAGTTAAAATGAGCCTATAAATACAATTTTTTATATAAGAAAAAAAAATCATTCATGCTATGATAAGTCGATAATTGTTATAAAAATTATCGAAACAAAATTCTATCCCTAGTCAGTCACTAATATGTAATATTAATGTACGTAAAAAAAAATAGGTTCGTAGAGGACATAGCCATATACGTTCGCACTCCCCATACAAGCCCGTGACTTCCTTTTATTCCATAATTTAATAACTCAACATTAGATGTCCTCCCTTAAAATTAAACTCCGCAAATTGAGCTCACTAATTTTTTTTAATTATTATTATTATTATTATTTTTTAATATTAAACTTGATTACAAGAGATGGGATGTTGCATATTTTCTCCTAAAATTTCAACTTTTCATTAAAATTTACAAATTACAATTCATATCGTCACATAACATCAAACAAGACAATATATGAAAAACCTTGATCGCTACAATATACTAGATAGGAAATTCTTCAGAATTTCAAAACTTATTATAATTTATTTTCAACCATAAAATGAGTCAAACCAATGCTCTTAGAACATTAAAGAAATCATGTTTGAACCCATCGGCATGGAAATGATTACTTGGAATAATCTTTGTGTAAATATAAAACGCTATGCAAGCGATGGTAGGCCCAACCCAAAACACCCAGTGCCCATCCCATAAATGACCTCCTCTAGCGATTGCTGGCCCCAAACACCTTGCTGGGTTCATCCCTGCACCAGAATAACCCTTCTTTCCTGTCAAACTCGTTGATATGAACACAAGAAGACCAAGAACAACTCCAATGATGGAAAACACGATGACAATACCCAAAGACTTTGCTTGACGATCATCATATGCTAACCAAATAGAAGCAAAAAGAAAGATGAATGTGCAGATTATCTCGAGCCAAAGGGCTTGGGTTGTCTCAATGCCCATAACAACTGGCCCGTTTGGGCCTGGTGCGATGATGGTTAGAGTGCAGCCTCCAAGTGAAGTAGTTTGTGTGATAGTTTTGGAGACGACAGCTTGAAGTGCGAGTGCTCCCAGTAGAGCACCTACGCATTGTGCAAGTATGTAGATAAAGGCTCGCGAGAGGGAAATGAGTCCAACAAGAGCGGCTGAGAATGATATGACTGGATTCATGTGTCCTCCTGAAATAGGGCAAACTGCTAGAAGAAGGATCGTGACGGTGATGGCAATGAGGATGGACATTAAAAGGGTTGGTGTTTTGGATTCTGTCTCGAAGGATGAAATGACTATGGTGTCTATCATGAACACCAGAACTGCTGTCCCAAGTAACTCTCCTATGGATGCCCGCCAAACCTAATCATGCATGCATGTAAATTATACATATATCGATCAATTTTTACTTGCAAAACACATGCAAAAATAAAAGTAATAAATCTATCACATTCATGGAATAAAGATCCTTTAAACCCAGTCTCTCTCCCAAGGTAATTACAGAATCTTCCTTCTTTCCATCATCAGGTTTCCTGTAAAACATCAAGTGTGTGGTTGTAATAAGACCCACGGCTTCTTTAATAATCAAAAAGAAAAGAAAATAAATTTGGACATTGCCTTGGTGTGGCTGATAAAAATGGTTGGACTCTCTTCCCACAAAGACTTTCTTCATCATCCATCACTTGCAAACCATTTGTTGCCATTGCCTTGGCTGCATGCACCACCAGGCCTATATATATATATATATATATATATATATATATATATATATATATATATATATATATATATATATATTAGGAGTTTGAGGATTGAAAGTAAGGAATGAGTTTTCTATTATTAAAAAAAGATATATATTGAAGAATTAAAAAAATAATTGAAATGTTATTCTAAATGAGTTTTCTTTATGTAATTTTCTATAATTAAAAATATATTTTTTTTAACAGAAAAATCATGATTATTTAATTTTATACATTAATGTGTCATTTCTATTGAAAAAAATAAGGACTACTTCTTTAATTTGGACAAAATATTAAATAATCAGGTTTTTCTGTTAAAAAAATAAAAATTGGAATTAAACCGTAAACTAACACAAAATATTAAGATTTTCCTAATTTTATTTATAATATATATTACATGTCATTTTATAGCATTTTACATCTTCAGTTTGTTTATTGATTAGTTTATCAAACTTTGTTTTTTATTACTTTAAACAATTAATATGCCAAACATAGTCTTAAACTTAATGATAAGATGTCTTAAAAAATCTTTTATTAATATTTAAACACATAAAATAATTCTTAATAAATTTAAGAAAATTGTTATTTAAAAAGATATTTTGTAATACTAAACAGTGTTGTATTCGTTAGAACTTAGAATAAAAGAAATATTGTTATAAAATTGTTATGAAATAGATGATTATGTTTATAATTTAAGCATATGCTACTAATGAAGTTGCATGAAAATACAGTTATCTATCTTGATTTGGTTCCACATGAAATCCCCCTATTTATTTGAATGAAACTTTTTGTTCACATATATATAAGTTTTAATATTAAGAAAGTAGGACCAAAGCTTTAACTATGTTATTTATGGCAATGGCGCAACCACTTGCACGTCGAGTCTTGATATATCATAGTTGACGATTTTTTGTCATACCTCATTAATTTTGCACATTTAATAACCTCAATGAATATATATTTAGGTCAAAACAAATCGAGATATTTTAGTTGTATTAATTCAAATTAAATTACATGAAATGTTTATTTAAAACGTCTGAAGTAATAAAAAAACCTGTCCTTTGTTTCTTAATTATATTATAGTAATTGTTTAACTAATTTATGTAATCACGTGAAAGGTAACAGCAACAGTTGGGGAGCATGCTGTTGGGTGAACTGGCGATATAATTGCATTACTTTTAAGCCGTCAAGTTAGAGACCTCGTGATTTCACTTTGTTTTATTTTTAATTTATACTTTTAACATCACTAAAAATTGTTGGATAATATAGGGTTTACGTTGGAGATCTGGATACAACTTGGACCGTGTGAACATTTTCCGAACTGATATATCTACCTTATGCCTGAGTTACAAGAAATTCAGTCTAGGATAATTCAAAATGACACTTACGATTCTAGGCACAAAAATCATAAGCCAAATTGCTAGAAAGATTTTGTGAGTGTTTAAAGAAAAACGAAAGCTAATTTCGTGTGTTTCTTCTCAAACGGAAGAGCCGTTTATATAATAAACGAGATTAGGGTTTCATTAGGGTTGGCCCGTCATGAGTTGCTTTGGAAGCAAGTCAGTGTAATCCAGATTTTAATGAGGATTTAGGGTTTCCAAAACTAACGAGTTTCGTTAGTTTTACCATAATCACCTTCAAGAATTTGAATTTCCCACTATGTTCCCATATGTAAAATTCGGAGAGCTTTTAGGGCGCTGCCCCTAGACCCTGCCAAAAGGGGCCCCGCCCCTTTGGAAACCCCAGACCCAGAGGCACTGCCCCCAGACCCCCGACTTGTCATCGAGCCGGATTCTAATCCGATCTTATACATGCGTGCACTCCGCACAAACCCATAGATATATTAGAGTACAAATTATGAAGCCCCTTAGCTTTTATGTTAGTTCCAGTTACATAAACTGACATGGTGACACTAAAATCACCAACAAACCTCCCCCATTTTAGTGTAACCCTTGAACAAACATAACCTTTTCAAAACAAACCAAACTAGTACATAATGAAAATATCAAAACGATTGAATTTCCATTTAGTATCATACACTTGCAAATACTCGAGAATCAGGGTGTTCTAAGAATTGAACCCATCAACCTATTTGAATACCAGAAAGTAAAATACATACTAGTTTATTGAATTTCTAGCAAAATCCAACTTGACACTATTATAAAGCCCTGTATCCCAATCCTCTGATAATCGTATCAAGGTCAAGTCTACAACCTCTTGAAATGCGACTACACTTCACAATCACGTAGGTAACTCCTTTCCATGTATCTGCACATACATTTATCAAAGGAATTATTAAGAAGTTAAACTTCAACCTGACTAACTTGCAGAACCGAACACATACCTGGGATGAATACTTCATGTGTTCCAATGTATAAGTATGAGCTTTCCACATTGAATTCAACTCCTAACATTATATTAGGAGGGAATTGAGTGTCTCATCATTACAGAATTAAATGGAATTTAATCCCATCCCGATTACAGACTTGTGCACTAAGTCTCTTTTCAGACCTTTAGTCAAGTGATCTGCCAAATTTTGTTGCGATTTCACAAACTCAACTGAAATCACACCATTCATGATCAGTTCTCTAATCATACTATGTTTAACACCTAGGTGTCTTGACTTGCCATTATAAACCTGGCTATATGCCTTAGCCAAAGCGGCTGCACTATCACAAAGGATATAAATAAGTGTTATCGGTTTAGACCACAAAGGAATCTCATAGACTAAATACCTTAGCCACTCTGCTTCTTTACCAGCAGCTGCTAACACAACAAACTCAAATTCCATTGTTGAGTTTGTAATGCAAGATTTCTTCTTGGAAGCCCAAGAAATGGCACCTCCCCCAAGCAAGAATACCCAACCAGAAGTTGAGCAATGGTCCTCCATGTTGGTTATCTAACTTGCATCCGAATGACCTTCTAAAACCGAATGACTCCCCAAGTGTCGCACCCCCAAACCAGAACGGCGGAAACGTTCGGGGGCGGAGGACTTTAGGTAAGTATCACAACACATGTAACATAGTAATCAAAGTACAAACAACCATTGCATTAATAAGTATAAGTTTTACGTAAGCGTTTAAACATTACATATTCAAACACTAAAGTAGGTACAACAGAAGACAAGCGTCGCGATACGGTACTAGGTAGTCTTCTCAAAAGCTTCGGGATTGTACCTGCCTACTGAATTCCTGAGAATACAAGTTATTTGGAAAGAGTAGATCAGCATTTAAGCTGGTGAGTTCATAAGTATTTTAGTTCTGTTAAGTATACCCTAAGTTCTTTGGATAAGTTCACTGGTTTCTCCAGGAAATCCTATATTTCCTGAGGTGCTAGATTTATAACCTCAATAGTTTCCCTCTGTAATTACTTAGTTTATACTAATTATACATAACACAATATCGAATGGACAATCAATTGGGTGCATCTGCCCTAAGCCCACAACCAAACAAGGAACAGGAAGTAAGGCGGAAGTCACACATTTCACTGTCAATCGGATATTACTTATGTATAACTATGATGTAATAACTAAGGAATTATAGAATTAACCACTAAAGGTCTTTTATGTTATACTAGTTTACAGAGATTGAGTGACTAAGTTCCATCGGATAAGTGGTTTAATCCATAAACCGTTCTCTTTGTATTACTGTTTTGTATTTGTATTCCTTTATGAAAACTTGAAAATGAGAGTGTGCCTGGCTCCACCAGGTGTTAATGAAAACTGTATTAAACCATTGTATTTTGTATTCTATAAACTGGTACTTTGAAGGTGTACTTTCGTTTATTTGTTTATACACTAACGTATTGTTAATACCTTTTTAATGAGTAGTTATTATTATAACCATACTATGACGGATGACCTGAAACAAACGCTTTGTGGGCGTTTAAACTGGTGATAACAATTGTCACTCATCGGCGTGTATGCCGGACTGTAGCTCGGAACCTGAGTGCGGGGTTGTCAATCCCGATATAGATCTACACACACTTGTTTCGATCCCCGGTGGAGATTCTGGTTATAATGTCAGGACTTTCCTATGTTGTCTAAAATAAATTAAACAACCTGAATATAGAGTCTCATAAAAAGCATATTAAACGTTACATGTATATTAGTTTTGAAAACCCAATCATTCTGAAATAATGATTGACAGTATATTCTTAGTTTTCCAAACATGTATTTGATAAGTGTAAACCCTTGATTTGTTTCGAATCAAAACCCTGGTTTCTTGTAAAACAGTGTATTCTAGTATACTTGAATTATGAATTATTACCTTGTGTTTACTAACTCAGGTACTCTGTATAGTACCTTTGCTAATGCAAACCCGACAGAATGTATTATTACCTCGTGTTTGCTAACTCGGGTACTCTGTATAGTACCTTTGCTAATGCAAACTAGGTATGATGTATCTTTACTTCTTTAATATGTTGTTTTTATATTAAAGGTATTATACATATCTTGGTATAGTTGAATGTATTTTGATAATTTCCTTGGAAAGTATACAGTCATGAATCATACTTGTATATTTAGTTTTGAATCATAAATTATACCTATTATAATTTATATGTTCTATCTGATTAGCATGAATTCTCATGGAATATCACATTTGCTCAGCGTGATACAAAGGTAATGATACTAAAAGGAGTAACCTTTTAGACTCATATATGTATAATATATATATATATATATATATATATATATATATATATATATATATATATATATATATAATTAAGAAGGAAACGACCTTCGGACAAATAATACAACCCTAATTCCACATCCAAACAAGGAAAAGGATATAGGATAATTCATTAGTCCTAAGCCCTTCAAATCTTATTTATATATTTATACATATATAAACATGATTTTGGCATTTATACTTTGAAATAGCTTATAAAACATTTTTCAAAGAATTTAACGGAGTTTTTACATGACTTTAAAGATTTAACATGACTTCACGTTATTTTGA